ATGATTTCTAATAACTTTTTCTTTTTAATCATGTTCATGCAAGTGATCTTACGAATTCATTTTCATGTTATGCATGACAAAAGATGGTATGATCCGATGCATCTCTCATTATTCTTTTGTTTGCGGCAAAAGAAAATAAATGTCAGGATTTGAATTCCGTACATCGGGCATACAACTATTGATTGAATAATAAAGTACAGAGTCTGAAGGATACTTCAACAACTATATAGTAACGAGGAACTTGCAGCCTAACGTGTAATTAAACTGCGGATCTTTATGCAAAATTAAAATTGTCTCGATTTCTAAATACAGAAGCCACATAGAAAAGTTTCTTTTTTAACGAATACGTCGCGATGAGTATAGTACATCGGTACACTAAAATTTTTCTAATATTTATACTTGAATTAACAATTTTTATTATGTATGCATAAAATCCGCTATCTACATATAATGTAGCTGAGCCTGACACGTCAACACCGCGAATTTTGATATATCGAAGTACATATTGCGTGGAATTGAATTTTCTTTTCCTCTATTATTTTCCATTTGATGGATGACGAAGGCCAATCTTTTTAAATTTTAGGGCTTGTAAAAATGAGCACAAGGTGTTTTGGTTAGAAAAATACCGAAAATGTGAAAGCCGGGTTTCAAACTGTGCCAACGTGTCTCTTTTTAGAATTCACACATTGTGAGAGATTTTACATATAGTTAATCAAATTATATTAAATTGGTCTTTTTCTATTAAAATCTGTACATGTAGTCTGTCGCAAAATATGCATACATTTCATAAAAGTAGTACTGCTTGTGTTTTTGTCATATTTTGTTACGGTTTTAACAAATACTGCTTGACAATATTTGCTAGACGTTGTAACAAGTTACGCATTTTTAAATATTATCTTTTGAAACGAATGTAATTTTATCGTTGCTCTTAAATGGTTCAACGACTGTCGCAAAAATAACAAATAGACTGGATTTATAATAGATCCCAAACAAGAAATATAAAAAGAATGTATTAATCTAATTTTAGATGAATGGTCCATTGTATTTGATTCTTAGCTAGTGTATAAAATAACAAAAACATGAAAAATTAAACTTTCGTAACAAAATAAAATAGAAATATGTTATGAGTTATGAAATAAGTTATGTTATAGAATGTTATAGAAATAAGTTCTGTGATGATCGATTTTTCGGAATGTGTAAAGATACCGTTGGAAATATTTACAAATTCTTTCTTTTCATTTTTATCTTTGCATTGTCTAATAATTTTCGTTCGTCTGTGTCATTCACAAAATTATGACACTTCAACATTTGTTTCTGATCATTGTTATACGAATCAGAGAATTAATATTCTGGTGTTATCTTAAAATATTTTAGCGTGTTTCAATTAGATAAGTGTGATCAACGCGATCACGCTTTGTAGCACTCGAATAAAATGTAATTCTTTTTACGTAAGATTTCATTGCAAATAAAACACATCATTCAGCGTAACTACGTATTTTACACAAGGTGTCCTAAAAATGTTGCAAGCCCTTCAAAGGTGTGATTTCTGAGACTATTTGAAGCAACTTCTTTTTCTTAGCAAAAACGTTCTCCGCGGCTTTGTTAACGAATTATTAACAAAAGGCACGGACCAAATAGAATGGACACACACATCTAACCGTGTCGAGCTCCCTATCGCGGCAGAACGTGTCACCTGTACTCGTTCTCTAATTGGTCCGCCTTTTTCTTCGATAACTTCTGAACGAAGCCATCCAGAACATTTTCGCTAAAGAAAAAATTACTACAAATCATCTCCGGAATCGCCCTTTTGAATGACTTACAACATTTTTCAGACACCAGTATGTTAATAAGTTTCCTTTGGACTCTTGTACAAAATCTATCTTAGGTAGATCTAAGTAAAAAAATATCGAGAATCGACACAGTTCACACAACACTAATCATAAGAATTTTCGAAATGGGCAATCCGATCTCTTTGTTGATTGATAATAGTGTTTCGGTGTCAGTTTTTAAAAACGACATGATATTAATCGATATTTTCACTTCTACTGCGGCACACAGGGAACACAATAACAGGTACATAGCACTTTTTACAGTTCTTTACAAGTTGTGCGTCCTTGCAAACATCTACATGTTGTTTTGAGGTAGTGGCAAATGGATGACAGTAGTGATATAAAATGCGTTTGTTTAAATTTGAGTCCCACGTACGATAGCGTAGCGGAACACGATCGATATTGTTTGGTATAATGATTGACGATTGAATCTTTATCCAGAATTTACGACGATTCACGCCAGTAGATTTTGTTTACTAAGCACCTATAGATTGACATGAGATTTTCATAGAGCTTTGACAATTTACGCTAATTTAATGCCTCCAAGAAAATGCTTGAATACCGACAGTTCTAAAGGCTACGTTACATGCAAGGAGTTATAATATTACATTGCCACTAACAGCGTAAGTCACGCAAATGGAACGGTGTGTATCTCAAGCTTGATTCGTGTTGGAAAAAAGTTGTACATATGAAAAAGTTGAATGACTTCAGTAGATATACCTTCAATTCTCGTATCTTTACTGTTTTCATACATGCGACAATGTGCTTCAGAACGAGTAAACACATTTCTTCTTTAAATAAAATTGAATTACTTTTCTCGATCCACGTTTCTTTTAATTATGTATAAACCGTTGAAAAAATCCATAATTCGTGAGGTATTCAAAAATTTTGAAATCTAGCATGTTTCACCAAAGATGTGCGAACATTGTGCTCTGACATAGTAAACACTTCATCAATCGTTTTTATGCATTCTTCTAATATAATTATTATAGTCGCTGTTTGAGTAATGTTATGTAACTTGTTGTTTTGTATATTCTACAGGAACAAATGAACGTGAGTACTCTTTACCCGAAGATCTGAATAATTTAAAAACATCTCACAAGTTGTTAATTTTTTAAAAATGAATATTATCATTTTCTGATACAGTTGAATGTTCTGAAGAATGGGTCTTTTTGAAAATATTGAAAAGTTAAAGCACCAGAAAATTAGATCTCCCTATACCACTCAATTTTTTGATCATTTTCTTTTCGTGCAATCAATTTTGAGATATAATTCATGTCAGCTGCGCGATTCGTCCTATATGTTTTCCCATTTTCGTGAAATATGTGTTAATTAACATACTTACAGTCCAATTTTCGTGTTTCATTTCAGCAAATTAAATTATGAACATACATGGATTGAGAAGGGTTCTGTAAAAATAATATAACACATTTTTTCATGTAATGTAGAAAAGATCTATTCGTATTTAAAATTCGGAAATTTAATACTATATACTTTACACGATATTTGTTAATCGGAGTTGAGAATTCTGTATCAGAAAGCTAATAAATGAAACGTGACACACTGGTTGTTATGACAGTCGTCGAATAACACACCGATCCAATAATGACGGCTGGGTTATTATGTTTCTTTAACGATTACGTTTATATCAATAGACCGATTCACAAAGTTACAAATTGCGGATCTTTCTGGATGTTCATAGATACTTGGACCTTGTTAATTTATACGTTTCCTTGCATTCTAAAAATCTGCGCATGCCGTAAATGCGAATGATTAAAAATTTTGAAATAAGTATGTAATATTTTTTTATTCATTTTATCTAATTATGCTGCTTCGCATACGTCATCGAAAATGAAAGATTCCATCAGAAAGTACTTTCATACTTGATGCAGAGGAAATAATTAACGCCACCAATATCATAAAAAATCCATTAACATTAAATGAATGTAACTGCATCAAATATACAAAGGCAATTATTGTATGAATAAAGTTGCACAGATATATAAATAAATATGGATACTGCTGTCGTATTTTAATGATCATTATCCCCTTACGAATGTTTCGAAGGAATTAATTCATTATCAAGCAACATTAACTGCTACACATATTTTATACTCTCGTTCTAAAAATGCATTGATAACTGATATTCTTTATAATATTCACATTATTTATTATCTATCTAGTCATTGCCAGAGTTGGGCAAAATTTAATTCGACATTATCGAATAAAAATTTATCTAAATAACAATTTATCCGAATAAGTTTTTATCCGAATAAAAATACATCTGAATAAGACGTTATTTGTTATTCGAATAAGAATTTATTTGTATAGGAATTAATTCGGAAAATAATCGATTTGAATAAAAAAGAGAGAATATAGTGTTTTCCATAATGATTGATCATTAATTTACCATATTGATTAATTTCTTCTATGTTAATTTTTACAATTAACTTTCTTTCAACTGCTGCTTTGGAAAGTTTGTTACTTTCTGGTACATTGATCCATAACTAAATGGAGTCTTCAGGTAGTAAACTAAAGTCTTCAGGTGCAACGAAAATCATGATACATTCCACGATTATGTATACAATATGTATACAATATGTAAAAAAATTATATCAAATCAACAGTCAATAATTATTGGCATTATTATTCGAATAATTTTACGATCTTTATTCGAACAATTGATTTGTTGAATAAAAAATGAAGAATAATTTGTGAATAATTGTTATGAATAATTGAATGAATAATTGTTATTCGAATAAAATATTCGACTATATGAAATTTATTCAACTAATTATGTTAAATAAATATTTGAATAATGCCCAACTCTGGTTCCTGTTATCCCCTCGTGACATTACAATAACATCGCATAAATACATAGATACATTATTTTGACAGATCTAAAGCTTAGTTTTTCGTACTGTTACTATTGCTTTGTCCCTGGTTAGTAGTTGCTGCGTTATTTCTCGTGTTCTTTTTTACTCATTCGGATTAAAGCAAACAGAGAGTAAACGTAAAAAGAGGCAACGAGTGACTACAGAGAGAATGCAAGGCGTGGCGTCACATGGGACTTGTTGTACATTTCCCAGTAGGTAGTATACAACGTGACGTGTTTTGTGTCAGTGTCGCAGGTAGTAAGCTACTGTGACAGTTTTCTTTTATCATAGGTTCGTTGCAGAAAATAATAAGTACGCTGCGGATATTTATGGTAATTTTATATGACAAATTGTGCAAAATATACGCAGAATATATAAAAAAATATATATAAAATATATGCAAAATATGTATAAAATATATATAAAATATATCTGAAATTTATTGGAAATAATACAAGAGACTGCAAACAATAGTTGTAGAATATTTATCGCTAGTACTTTGCATTAAAATTTTCATTACAATAATTTTTTCTATGTTTTTAATTGTTAATTGGAACCTTTTATCAGATAAAGTTAATTTATATGCTGTAAATATTTTCTCATCATCAAAAGTTGTGTTGTGAGCGTATTTCTACTTTCCTCAGTATTATGCATTTTAGGCTCAAAAAATAAAAAAGCAAGGAAACACTGCTAACATCAAGAACTCGTGATCCGAACATTGAGTATTAATATCCAGAAAGTCGAAAGGTAAAATTAATTGATACTGATTTTCTGCGTGAAATTATTGGATTAAATATATACTCACGATACGTAGGCAAAATTAATATGCGTTACAACTCGATGTATTAATTTTGAAATGAAGAGTTAATGAAGTTTATCTAAATACTGCATCGATTTTAGATTGATGGTAATAACTCGACGCGGTTGCTGCGTTCAATGCAGATATGGTGTTACGCTGCGCGTACATTAATACGTGTCGCAGTTTAATATTACTGTGGTGCCATTTAATGTTATCCAAAGAGTAATTATTTATTTAATGCCAATACACATTATTTTTCAGTAGAAATATTATTATGAATTTAATTAATATATACACGAAGACTATATTGTGTCTTCATCTCCTTTCTTAAACTTCATTCGTGTAACTACAAATCATCGAGAATCTATAAACTCAATTAATTATATTACATTAGACTTCCTAAATTATGTGGAAAATTTCAAAATAGATTATAATACTACATATATATATGAATAAAGACGTATACACTCGTGCACGAAAGTACAATTTTAACGTTCAACTTTTGAAATATGTCCATCGTTACACATATATGGCATATTACATCAAATGCTTCAACCGAACATGCGCATTTCATAAGTTCGAATTATTAGTTGAATGTTAAAATTATTGTAAGCGTTCGAATACTTTCATGTATGAGTGAAGTGACCAATTGCTGTGCTTTTGGTTTGTTTTCAGGCATAACTAACTTTATAGCTATTGAATAAAACATATTAAATTCCTGTATTCTCTTTTTTGTCTATTTTTGAATAAAATAATTTAATACATCTTATTTGATAAATACAAAATTAATTATACCCGAAAACAAACCAAAGACACAACAATTGGTTACTCCACAGTTACCGGCTTCACTGCCCTATAATATCCGTAAATTACTTATCATTCACTCTGCGTTCACATTCTGCTTGTTTACCTACATAAATCCAAGAAGATAATGTATTTTGATTCACATGGTCTACCGTTGGCTCTTTATTGCGGTTTCGCGATACAACCACCACGTTGCGTTGCAGCGATTACATCGCATTGTGGTATTAAAGCATCAGAGATGTAGTTCGTGATATGCAGCATTATAGAAGTAACATTTCCCTGTTTTCGCTCAGATCAGATTATAATACTCTTAATGATGCAGTATTAAGTTATATTATTATTTTCTGCTTTACGAATTCTGAATATTTATGCTGTACTTACAATTATTAAATATGATAATTGATTCTATATCACTGTTTTTCGGTTTCTGTCTCTCCAATGGCTCAAATCGTGTACATTATTCATTAAAATTTGTATTAAATTGAATTTATTTATTTTATTTATTATTAATGAATATAATAATTAATATACATAGATAGATTGTTGTAGTTCTAATTTTTGAAAAAACTACAGAATTATTTAAAAATATATTGGATTACAGTCGATACAAATTGCAATGTTTAAACGAAACACAAAACTTCCATGTGACAGAATATGGTAAACTTATGCTGCGGGGACAGTAAACGATCACTGTCATTATAAACAGTCAACCATCTGCTATGCTCGAGATAGAATTTCTCACAACATTGATGAATATATTTCGAAAGTTCAATCGTTCGAAATAAGTAGCAAGTGCACATCTTTTTGTTGTTCCACCTGTTTTTTGTACATCTATGCGTGCATATATATTTCCCATCTTCTCTCTCTCTCTCTCTCTCTCTCTCTCTCTCTCTCTCTCTCTTTCTCCCTCTCTCTTCTATGTGTGTATCTCTCTCTCTCTCTCTCTGTATGCGTGTGTATCCGTGCGTGTGTGTCGTTGTTTGCATTTTTTATATAAGATATACAGATTTGTTGTACCACACATTAGCTTCACAAATGTGACTACAGACAAATATGAATTGACAAATTTCATACGTATTGGAGTGATGCAGGAGTCCGATGGGATAATCGCAGTTTTATCTCATAAAGACATTTTTATGCATTTTATATCACCCCGGAGTTCTACTCTTTCTTTTCCAAATGTGTATACTAAATTTTTCTTATTTAATTAAACATTTCATTCTATATATCGTTTCTTTTTATATAGTGCTAAATTGAAGAAATATTTCATATTTCGTTTAATATAAAATATTCAATTTAATAAAGAATATCAAAGTATACATCTTCCTTAACCAGGTAGCTGTTTCGAGGAATATACTCAACGAAAACAGTTAACTAGTTAAAAGTTGCATATAAAAAAAGAAAGAGAAAATCACAATATAACGTGAAACACATACGTAACAAGCATCTCTTTTCGAAAAAAAAATTGCGCTTAATACGAAGGACATGGACTATGNAATTTATTTATTTTATTTATTATTAATGAATATAATAATTAATATACATAGATAGATTGTTGTAGTTCTAATTTTTGAAAAAACTACAGAATTATTTAAAAATATATTGGATTACAGTCGATACAAATTGCAATGTTTAAACGAAACACAAAACTTCCATGTGACAGAATATGGTAAACTTATGCTGCGGGGACAGTAAACGATCACTGTCATTATAAACAGTCAACCATCTGCTATGCTCGAGATAGAATTTCTCACAACATTGATGAATATATTTCGAAAGTTCAATCGTTCGAAATAAGTAGCAAGTGCACATCTTTTTGTTGTTCCACCTGTTTTTTGTACATCTATGCGTGCATATATATTTCCCATCTTCTCTCTCTCTCTCTCTCTCTCTCTCTCTCTCTCTCTCTCTCTTTCTCCCTCTCTCTTCTATGTGTGTATCTCTCTCTCTCTCTCTCTGTATGCGTGTGTATCCGTGCGTGTGTGTCGTTGTTTGCATTTTTTATATAAGATATACAGATTTGTTGTACCACACATTAGCTTCACAAATGTGACTACAGACAAATATGAATTGACAAATTTCATACGTATTGGAGTGATGCAGGAGTCCGATGGGATAATCGCAGTTTTATCTCATAAAGACATTTTTATGCATTTTATATCACCCCGGAGTTCTACTCTTTCTTTTCCAAATGTGTATACTAAATTTTTCTTATTTAATTAAACATTTCATTCTATATATCGTTTCTTTTTATATAGTGCTAAATTGAAGAAATATTTCATATTTCGTTTAATATAAAATATTCAATTTAATAAAGAATATCAAAGTATACATCTTCCTTAACCAGGTAGCTGTTTCGAGGAATATACTCAACGAAAACAGTTAACTAGTTAAAAGTTGCATATAAAAAAAGAAAGAGAAAATCACAATATAACGTGAAACACATACGTAACAAGCATCTCTTTTCGAAAAAAAAATTGCGCTTAATACGAAGGACATGGACTATGCATCAGCTCAATATCCATCCCATCATTTGCGACCTCTTTGGGGTTAAGTGAGCTCGTGTGAGCGAGTGGAGACGAAAGCTTTGATGTAAAGCCGATGATTCTGCGTCCGAAATGTCGGGGTGGAAAATTCGTGTCTATGATAGCCATCTTACCAAAGTGACACGAGGGTAAGATGGTGTCAAGTTGAAGCCCTTATCTAAGGTCCCAACGAAGCGTCGCTTCGCGGGAGTAGAAAGTTGCTACTTTGAATAACCACCTTACCAAGAAGACAAGAGGGTAAAGGGTGTTCTTGATCGAAGGTGACGATCCTAATGGACCGTAAATGATAGAGATACGACATCCTGAACAAAATATAATATACACTACAGGTTTGTTTCGCGCTCGAGACGATAATCATTTCTGCTGGCTTTGAGCGTAGACAGAGGTTTCTGATGATAAGCTTGTGCATGACATTCAGTACGTTTTTGACTTGACTCGGATGATACTACGTTGTGCACACACGAATAATTATTCTCTCATAGTAAGTATGCTTGATATATATTAGTACAGTTGAGTAATGAAACGAAAGCAGAATGTAGTTTGTATGACATGTTTTGGTCAGGACCACCAGTGAGCAACTTATTGAACACCCTGTATACTAAAAAGTTTCTTCACAATGTAGAGTATATCCCAGAACATTTGTCACACCCGGAAGGCAGTGTTTCCTGAGGTGATTCGAAGTCTCTTTTTCATCAGCGAAAATGTTAGTTGCGGCTTCGTTGACACATTAAGAGTGCCGAATCAATTCCAAAAATGCCCACAATGTTTAATTAACACATGTTTAATTAATTAATACTTTGACTACCACGCCAACAATCTTTAACATTTCATAAAATTAAAATATCTTATTTAATTAAATCAAAATTACGAAGTAAATTTTTATGACGTCAATTACTCTCTTTTCCCACATTCGTATACTCTGCGAATCTTAATAAAGTTAGGAAAACATAATATAGATTAGCGAAAGAATTAATTTTCAAATCAGAATAAATCATTCCGACACCCACATATAGGAGACACGACAATGAAAGCGTTAATGAAAATGAAATTAGAAAGATAAAATTTACATTCGGGAGAATTAACTTCACTCTTTTGTGTATTAAAGACCCTAATAACATTCAGATTATTCCTTATATTATAATAAGAAAGGATTTTAAAACGCAGTTAAAAATTAGTATCACGGCACTCAACGTGTTAACGAATTATAAACGAAACATGCAGTCCAATCAGAGAACGGATATAGCTGGCGCTCCACCTTCACGGTCAATGCTGTGTCCAGCTAGCTATCGCGTCAGAACGCACCAGCTGTTCTTGCTCTCTGATTGGTCCGTGTTTCTTTATTAATAACTCGTTAACGAAGCCGTCGAGAATATTTTCGCAAAGGAAAACGTTACGTCAAATCATCTCAGGAATCACCTCTTTCACCAAGTAACAAGAATAAAGAACGCTCTGTGAAGAAAACACCTTTTCTTTACGAAAGTGAACATAGTGTGTCGAAAAACTTTGATATCACAGAAACGACAGTAATTCCTTGTGAATCTGTAAGACAGAAATGTAAAGTAAAAATTGTTCTTGTTGGGTTACAATTTGGCTAAATTATCTATTTATTATTTAGGTTTTATTATACATTAATTTATGTATTTATTATCAATTCTTCTAGCATTTATTAGAAGAAACTGTCGATAGAAGTAATTGTGAAAATCTCACATGAGATAATTTTATTGTACATTTTCGTGTTCCATTTGCATAGAGAAAAGTCTCCATTGTTTCAGACTGCGGATTTTTAGGGGAAATAAAAATTGTTTTTATTAATTGCAAGTTACAGGAGTTACACAAGCACACTTATTTTTCTGAAGTTGAACATAATACAACTGTATTTTGAAATTCTATAAACGTTTCTACTGTTTTCCATTCGATATACTAATTTTTCTTATTAATGCGTAAAATCCGCAGTCTAGTGATTATATCATGATTTTCAATGCTCCCTGTACATGCTAGGTACACTTATAGCTGTCTCCCTTTTCTGTGTATTCTATTTGTGTTATCATTATCCATCGTATGCGTACAAATTGCAATTGTCGATACATGAGAAAGTGTGGACCTAATTTTCCTTGTGGATAACGAATTCTAATAACTTTGCAATAATACTGTTATCATTATAACGAGTATAAAAATCGAAACGCAATGGCAAGATGGTTAGTTACAGGGTGGTGGCGGTGGTTGCTGGAAATAGCGAAGCGGTAACGTTGAGCGGACTCAAAGCTGACACTCAGTACCAACTGACCGTCACTGCCACCAAAGCTGGCGTAAAATATCGAAGTCGACCAATCGTCTTCCGTACACTAGGTAAGTAAACTTTTTTTTTTAACGAAGTCACTTTTGCTTCATTTTATACTATTGGATTGATGCACATGAAATGTCGGATTTTGTTCATTTCGATCGCGAAATTATAATAGCCACAGTTTCAAATCAATTTATATTATTGTTATAAAATTTTATGAATTACTTATAGTTAATAGAATTTAGTATGATTAAAGATATGATTAGTCACTGGAACTTTCGATTTTCCTATAGGTAAAACAGTATCTTGTAAACATAAAGAAATCATTATATTCGAAATATATTAACACACAAATCAGCGTTTATTTCTCAGGAACATATCCAAAGATTTTTGAACTACTAGATCTAATCTTGATTATTTGCGAATTCGAATTTAATATGGCGATTTTGTAATCTGACGCACTTGCATACTAATTTAGTTGATTGAGAAGTGTTGTTTACGTTGATAAAAATTTTTGGTGCACAGTTTGGTGCACGTAAAATGTCGGATTTCGTTCAGGCGTACAAGTTTCTTCTACTGGTTTTGATTTTCATTTCTGTTTCTCGCATTATCTTTTGTATCGAGAGTAATATCTTCTTGAAGAAAGACCCTAGGTTCAAACCCTATTAAGAAGTTGATAGTAAGTAGTAATTCTGTTTTTACGTATGGTGAATATAATCGTAAATTTTAAATCGTTACTTTTTAGTTAATAGAAAATAAGTAAAGAACACATAATCGTTACCATATGGAAACAACTGATAGCTAAATCAAGGAAACCGAGTAATTGGATTTCCAACAAAGTAATACGAATCGAAAGGAAACGAGACCCCAAGTAATGCAATAAGACACAAAACAAATTATACCTCATCGAAGGATGAACAAAGATGCTTGAAAGGAGGACAGTTACGACGTGGAATGTATTTTCTACTGTCATTTGTAACCTGAAGCCCACGAAAGAATGGCTCAAATGCTTAGAAAGTAGAGATTGGACTCACGTACAAGGTGTCAAGAAAATAATCGTCGCATGTTCGGGATACAAAATAAAATTGTTCAATTACTTCATTACATGAGCATGTTCAAGTCGTCATGAAAATATAAAGTTCTATCAAAGGTACATTATTTTTCAAAATATACGATTACAATGTTGAGGATCCTTATTCAGTTACGAGAAAATTTTTTAGGTCTGCGATGTTGGAAAGCCAAAGGCCTCATAAGAGAGCCTCATACACTAGGCACATTATGGTCAATAAACTAGTTAGAAAAGTGCAACCTGTCGTGAAGACTGGGTTACGGAGACTACGGATAGTAACACCTGTTACAAATGATAACCACAGTATTTTCTTACCACAGTATTCCTAGCCAATAGAATTTTCCTTTGCCAATTTTTATGGTGCTTTAACATTGCAGACCTAGAAGAAGATCTTTTAAAATAACTTGAACTTGAAGATGTTTCTTTCCCAAAATAACTTAAACTGTTTTTCCTGAAAACCAGTGCTTTCAATATAATATGTAACAGAAATTTTCAGCGGCATAAACAATCTTCTAAGGTGGTCATTTTACTTTCTATGCAGCATTTTGTGTAGGATCTCACCTCGAAACCTACTACTTTCCTGACACTGTGTATATATGCTGGAGATGATGAACAGACATGTTATGTCGAGCTGTCGAGAGATTACAAAGACGTTACTGTATTTCTGACGTGCACATTAATAGTTGCATTCCATTTTACTGCATATAAGAGACAAGAGGCATGTTTTGTACTTTTCACGATCATTTTGAATTTTAAGGTACTACGATGAATTAATATTAACGTCACATCCGAAATTACTTGGATCACGATATTCTCAGACAACGTTTATCTAATATGTAAAATATTTACAGAATTGATTCGTTTTACCAAAAGCAATCATTGTTGCGAAGTAATTAGAAATTAAGAAATTCATTTCCACACGCGATGCTCCAGGATACAAGAAATCTTACTGTAAATGTCATTTCGATGTGACGTTTCTAAAATATCGATTCTTTTTCTTAAAGTGGACAACTACTTTTGATTTCAACACTTTCTTCAAATCAAATTATGTGGTAATAAATACTATGTAATTGGAATGTTATTTTATATCCTTCCAAAGATTAACATTTTCTGAGGTTTATGCGACTTAATATTTCATTTTTTATATTTGAATGCATTTTTGGGGGCTGAAGAGGTTATTATTTCTTTGAGATTTTTTGAAATGAATGCTGTCTTGTATGATTAATTTTTTTGATTAATATATTGGAAATGCTTTTTTTTAGTGAATTTATTTTTTTAGAGACTTTTGTGGGTTAACATTTGGAAATTTTTTGTAGGAACTAGAGTCCAAACCAAATTCAACTACTTGTTCTTACATTTTAAATGTTTTTTTTTTGAGAGGATATATTTCTGACGAATCACAATCGATATTGAAAGCTTCGTAGCTTTCTTCTTGTAGAGCACGTGAAAATTAAATGATAATATCAACACTCCAACGTCAAACAGATGTTATTCTGCTGTTCTTTTATTTATATAGTTGATTTTAATGTGTATGTTGATTTAATATATAGTTGATTTAATGTGTATTCGTATATACAAATGAAAAACTCGAATAATATTTACGTGTTTAGTATGGAATAAATAAACAAGGCAATTATTAAAGTTAATAAAATATTAAAGTAAATAGAAAGAAATGGGAATTATTGTTTGTTACATTAACGTTGAACAACTTACCTAAAGTTCGCACAATTTCTTGGTCCTTGTACCAGAATGATACTGGAAACGTACGCATATGCGACGATAACGTTACAACTGCAGAAATTTGTAACTACTACTAATCGACTTGTGATTTAGCGTTTGGAGGATGTTTGTGTCAAGCTAGTTTATACGAGAACATGCGCATTGCGACAAACTGCTTCGTGGCTCTACTTATTTTCTTTTCATCTTGACTTCAATGCACGAAAACGTAATTTGGCTCCATAAACTTCATCTGAAGATTTTATACTACATAAAAACGCTGTAATGTTCACTGATACATTTTTGACGCTTCTTCATCGTGTGGTAGATGAGCGCAGTGTGCATCCAGCCTGAAACCACTTTTACAATTACCAACGTAAACTCTTTAGAGTTGATGTTGAAAGAAATGAAAACGAGGAGAGATAATTTACTTATTGTATTGACTGCAGAAAATGCAAAATAAAAATGCATTAACTGAAAAATAACAGATATTACATGTATTGTTTAGTTTTATCTTATTATACTTTTAATAAATTATAAATGTTGCAATATATAGTATACTTTCTGTCTTTACTATTAGATATTTTACCTACTCATATTTATTATAAATACGGTATAAGAAATATATTTATTATAAATGAAATTCGGAGTTTAATAATTGTACACACAAAAATTCGTCTCAGAAATGTTATTATTACAGCGCCGATATGTGTGCATTTATCGCATGTGCAGGTTTTTGAAATGCAAGAAAACGTATGAAATGACGAAGTCTAATGTAACTTTTCTTTTCTTTCTACAATGAGTAATCTTTTAGTTGACAATAGTCTATTTAAGGTGGGAAACTTCTCTTTAACTAAAATTTTTATAACATTGGTAAAATTAGTTATTACAGTATATAAAAATAAATAATATTTCATAACTTTAGAAATATAAATCAATGATTTTAATTTCTACAAAGTAGTATATAAAATGAATAAAATTTATCTATCTTTTTATTATGTACAATATTCTTGTAATATTCAATAACAAATCAAATAAACCTAATCGAAGCAAATAAAGTGAGAAAGTAAGCGTGCGCGTTTAGGAACCATACATTTTCTGACTGCTAGAAACCAACCCTGAGCTCAATATTCAGCAGTCGATAGCTGCAATCACCATCATCGATTACGTGAATATTACGCAGCCGTTTTGTTCATACTAGTGACTCGTCTCAATGGACAGACTATAGTATATCACAGAAAGAACTTTCTATGACTGCCTTTATTTCATTAATATATACAGTGTGCTTGCTAAACGATCACAAATTAGATTAAGAATATTAATTACATTTTTATTCTTATTTACACTATTGTTACATCAATAACTATGAAACATTTTAATACGTTTCGAAAACACAAATTTCCTTCCAATGTAAACGTAATAATTATTTGTAAGTAAGTTTTGTACGGAAGATTTTTATCAGCGTGGTACGGTAAAAGCATTAGACCAATGTATAGAAAAGTTGCAGAAGTGCAGAAAGATGGTGCATACCTGTTTTATGATTATTATTCAATTTTAAACCACGATCACTGGATGTTAGCCATGTATTTATTCTCCACAAGTTCTTTCAAGATGTTATGCGCAACAGTTTCCAGACTTTCACGCAACTCGTTTTTCAAGGAAATATAGCCGGATTGGGGTTCCGCAAAGTGACGCTGCTCTTTCCTTTCATTTACAGAATTGTCGAGAAAACATTTGTTTCTATTGCGAGTGGTTTTGCAGCATTGATGCAAAGTTCGCATTGACTGGTATAAGAAAATTATATTAATTTGTAAAAAATTTTCGAAAAATTACTCAAAGAGCTGCAAAAATAAGCAATTCTATAAAACTTTCTTTTAAAAAAAAGTTGATCTTGTAATAGACAATCAAACTGTGCAATCAAAAATTTATGCGTGAAACAAGTATAATGGAGAAACTTTTATGAATAAAGAAAATCCGATATTTTACGTGCACCACTTCAATATTTTTATAAGGGAATCTCAATCTTATTAATCGAGAATATTAGTATACAAGTTCATTAGATCACGAAATCAACGTATTAACATAATTTATTATTCGATCAGAAATTTCAGGCATTCGCGGTTCGGCATCATACGATTCTATGGAATGCTCCGATTAGTATTGTTGGTATAGCAATCGCGACTTTCTGTTTTCGAATTAGTCGCATGTTATTATAGCTATAATTTCTGTCTAAAAAGATGGCGCTAAGTTTACTTTTAAATTAGAGTTCTCGTAAGTCTACTTTTCTTTGAAAATGAGTTAGCCAGTGCAAACACATCTTTATCATAGGATTTTTCGACTGATAAGTCAATATAATAAATTTTTTTATAGATAAAATAAATATCAGCATTTATGTCGCCCACGGAATGACTAAATAAAATTGTTAAAAGGGAATTGTTTTTTCTAAAAATACATTGACATTTTTCTTTTGTTTCTCTTTTGATTAACTTTATTTGTACGTCATCTTAGAATAAAACTTGTGTTTTGCATTACCAATAGTATTGTTATTTTTGTTACAGGTAATATTTGTTACAGGCATATTGGAGATGCCAATATGTAGTTTAAGATGTATTCCTCTCTTTATGTAGCAGAGTTCTTTCCTTGCATATTTAAATGTTTAAATCAATGAGTTCAATTCATAAATAAAACTAGATTCTTTTGTTTAACCCAACAAGCACTATTCAATTGCGCAAAACGGAACCTGTAATGCAATGTAATTTTGTGTTTCATATGCGACCCAGTACGATATAGAATGTGATATTAAAATGAAATGATATAAGTGATATTAAAAAATGAATTGCGCTGAATGACGTTCATAGAACCGGTTAAAATAATAACGAAATGGTTCAATGTTTTAGAGCCGCCCCGAACATCCCCTCAACAGGATGCAGCGGTGACTGGCGGCCCTCTTCCTCCTTCCCCACCTTCTTCTGACCAACCACAGCACTATATACAGGTGAGTTGAAACATGCTAACGAGTATATGCTTGAAACATTAGCTTCCGGTAACCAAATCTTTTCAAATAATACAGCAGGACCCTTTAAACCGTGAAATACACGTTTCGCGTGATACAGATCTCACGTTGTACGAATTTTTTAATATGACAAAAGAATATGCATTTTGTTTCATTTTATGACAGGAATATAAAATTTCTTTGTCTCATGTACGGAATAATTTTTTAATCTGAGTTATAGGGGGTCCTAATGTATTAAACAAGACTGTACGTCGCTGCAGTCGGTATCATATATTGTATGTTCAACTTAATCTTGTTTACTTTGTTAAACGAAATTTTAGTTTGCTACGTTAAGAGCCATATCGGCCACATATCGGTGACACTAAAGATCAATTTTTTTTACTCGTTCAGACATGGAACGTTGGGTGATCAATTGTTGACCAATTGCTTTTGATTTATTTTCGTGCATAATTAACTTTATATTAAAGTTAAATTGTGTTAAATTTTTTTTATTGAAAAATAAACAATAGAGAACAAAAAAACATTTCTATTATTTTATTATTTTAAAATTGCGTTGTACAAGTTGCATAACCTAAACATTGCAATCTAAATATATCTTTCAATAGTGGAATTTGACTAGTACGAATACGATGCAAAAAATGCAGTCTTCATTCATGGTCATTTTTATCGGAATTTTCAAGGTTATCGACATCGACTTGCATATAAGTGTATATTTTTTTATTGCATCGTGTAGCATATTACTGCATTCATCTCTAAGTATTGGGATACCGACAGAAATTAATTTCACGTTTCGTTTTCATATTTTGAGTCAAACGTCATTTCAAGATCAAGGTATTTTAGCGAACGTATTTTAGCGTCAGATAAAAAGTATGTGCAATAAAAAATATATGCACTTATATGAAAATTAACATCGAGCACCTTGAAGAATGTCCTCAAAAAAGCTACCATTGGAGAAAATATTTAGGCAAAACATACAGATGGACCACCGTGTATTAAACCACAATGAAACATTTCAGTATAAACTTCGTAACTAATTGTACAGACTGAAAAACAATGACACTATGTTTCGATCTGTGTTCGTAACACGAACACCCTGAAACTGTCTATGTACTATCTCGTAGAGGTCACTTCGTGCGTTTCAAACTCTACGGCGCCACATCATTTATTAATGACTGATAGAACTCTATCTTAGAACTATTACACCACACCTGCTTCATTCTCACATACGGAGCGAGTTAAATTACTCGCGAACTGTTTGTTATACGTAAAAAACAAGAACAGTATGGTATCAAGGCGGACTTAACCCTAGAAAGATAACCATATGACAACGTACGTAAAAGATAACCATACGCTTCAGAGGCGCATGCTTTTCTAAGGCGTCAATTTTATACTAACAATGGATATTTATTTAAGTTAATCTAGTCATTTTAAAGGTTTGGTATTATTGTAAAAATAAAATGCATTTATATTATATTTTTTTATATTTTAAGTAATTTTAAACTTAAATCACTAGACCTCTATGAAAAATTAACAAAAATCAACAGTCTTCGCAGGCGCCTCTGCGACGTAGGTTATCTTTCTCGGGTTAAAGAAAA